AGATTCATGTTCGTTCCGGTTTTGGTTTGTTAAGGAACCAAACCGAGGGTTTTTTTGTCTTCTCCTTGAATTTCGGATTACCGCGCAACATAGAACCTGTTGGGGCTTCATGGTGAGTTGATTAGCAAACGACATCTGTGGGTTCCTACTTCCTGCCATCTGAATTCTGAACTGAGCTCAGCCTATTGTTGATTTTACTTATCATTCTAACATGGGCTCCTTCTATAGGATTGGACTTTAAGCTAAGGCCAGTTGGGCCTTTCGCCCCTCTGTAGCCAAAAAATAGAGTTAGGGGCACCTGTGTCACAAAATTTTTTAGTTTTTAGTTTTTTTTTTTTATAATTTGATTTTGACATGTGCAATGCAAGCTAAAAATATAATGTGAGAATTTTTTTTATTTTGATTACTAAAATTTATTATTGGTTTAGGAAGTTTTGAAATTTATTAATGAATTAAGAAACTCTGATAATTAATATATAGGAAAAAAAATGAAAAGAATATTAGATAAATTATTTTATTTTAAATATTTAAAAATAATTATAAGATGAATATGAAAGGTTTAATATATTAATTATAAGTTGTGTTTTATTTGTTAAATGTTATATATGTGGTAATTAATGTGCATAATTTTGTGAAAAAAAACTATAAATTTATAAAATATATAATTTGCATGTGATATATTTTTTATTTTAAATATTTGTTTGATTTGGCTATATCTACATATTTTATTTAATTAATGTAATGAAAATTCACTTTAATCATTTGACAGGGTGAGCACGACCCTGGGCTAGATATGCTACAGGGGGATCGTGACCTTGGCACAGTGTTATATCGGGGGTGAGCACGGCCTTGGATTGTTAAATGGGTAACGTGACCTTGGCATAGTGTGAAGTGCAAGATTTGTGATGATTGGCGTGATTGCGAACTATGACGTGATGATGATGTATGATTGATCGAGTTATGATATGTTGAAATGTTTATGAATATTTTATTAAGTATAGAGTCATAATGAGATGATATGTTGCGTTTTCCTTATGTGCTTTATATATAGATGCTTTCTTTTCTCACCGTACAATTTATGGATATTTTAGGTGAGGAAGATCCAGCTATGAGTGGCATCTAGAGTGTCAACAGTTGATTTATGGGTATGCTCTGATATTGTGATATCGGGGCAGAGAATTTCTAGGACATGAATTGTATTTGTATACGGAGTTGAACCTATTATTTTGAAAACATTTTGTAACCTCTTATGTTTTATTTTCCAAGCTTCATTTTCAGAATATTTTGGATATTGAAGAATGTTTCTAAAGGTTTTATGTGAACCCTTTTACCTATTTTGAAAATTTGATTTCCTTAGTTTATCTATATTATTACAATATATGTGTTGGGGTAGTAAGGGTGTCACAACATTAGACGACTAAGTACATGCCTAATGTAGTATGACCTAATTTTTTTTGAGTTTCTCTTTTCCTTGTAAGAAAAAGCTCTTCTTTATGGATCCCAGATTGACCTCTATTGGTTTTTGAGTATATGGCTTCTTTAGTATTATTTATTATATAATGATAATAATGTAACTGAGTCATTCCTATAATGATAAGGATCCCAGATTGACCTTTCTTGGTTCATGTTGAATTTTGATGTGGCTTCTCTTACATTGGATAATTAGATAAGTTTTATTGAATAAGTTTTTACAGGTTATTAGTTGAGTCAGTCTTATTTTAAAAATTAACCTAGTTAAAAAAATATAATCTACAATGGTTCTACGTAAAAATTGACTTAGATGTATGTGTTGATCTAAGTCGGTTCTTAGGAAAAATCGACTTAAATGTATGTGTACATCTAAGTCGGTTATCACTAAAAACCGACTTAGATCAACACATACATCTAATTCGGTTTTATGAAAATCGACTTAGATCAACACATACATCTAAGTCGATTTTTACTTAACCGATATAAATATGTTCATTCATCTACGTCACCCTCATCTAAGTCAGTTTTAAAATCGATATAGATATGAAAAAATAACCGACTTAGAATACAATTTTTCTAGTAGTGTTTTAAATGGTTAATAATAACTTAGATATATATACCTTGAGACCAATTTGACTATTTGTTATGACTTTTCCTTCAATGTGGAATTAATTTTGATATTTTGATTTTCTTAATTTAGTCAAAATATTTAAGAAAATATTTTCTTTTACATAATATTTAAAGAAATAGCTTTCTTTTACATTATATATATATA